TCTTTCTTTCTCTCTCAGCTAAGTTATTCTGGACAATGATCAGAGATTTTTCTAGTAGTCAAACCAAGATGTGGCCTGAAATCTGGGGATGATGTATTCATAATGAAACAATTTAATACCCGTTCTTTGTGTGATAAACTGCATTACTGCTAATAGTCATAAATCCCACTGCTATTTACCATATTACATACGGTATACATATTTGCATTAAATGACAAACATAATATATATAATATAAAAATGTTAAAAACATGGTTTGCTTTGCTGAAAGTACTATTACAAGTTTTTTGCAATATACAAAAGCAAATTTAGGCATGAATTAAATCTAAAAGACTAGGCAAAAGAAACTTACGTTTTGCTCAGCCAGGGAGTACACAAGCTGAGGAAGAATGTCTCCCTTTACTACAGCCTCAGCCAGGTCATCGTTATAGTTGGCAAGCCTTCCGAGAGCCAGAGCTGCTGTCTGCTGAATAGTTGGGACTGCATCCAAAAGGAGAGGCCTCAAAAGGGACATTACACCTAAGCCAAAGAGAGTGAGCACATTTGTGCAGGGGAGAAAACAGGAGTGGAAAGACATTTGAGAGCAGATGAGAGGAGGATATAATTTCAAAAACTCAAATCATGTTGTACTAGGTTGTAAAATACATCACATATTGCATATGCCGTACAATTCATTTAATGTAACTTGATTAGTTTACCTCGTGACTTGATTTATGAAATGTTTTGTTCAGAAACATTGAACTATGCTTTAAACTGTGTTCTGGTGAAAGTTCAACAGATATTGATTTATTTTCTGGTACAAAGAACTTCACTGCTTCTTCCATCAGTTGTGACATTTAAGTAGAAATATTTTGAAGGCTGGGTTTTGAATTTGTGAAATAAGTATAAAAAATAATTCAAAAAATTTGTAACAACATTCATAATGTCTTATATTACATCTTATGATACATTATAGTTGAAGTCAGAAATATTGAGAGGGGTCTGGATGCAGACCTGGTGCAGTGCAATCTGAGCTGCATCAATGCTTTTTAATGCACTCACCTAACCCCACCCCTAACCATCACAGTGACGTCACTCACTCCATTGAGTGCATTGTGTCTGACATTGCATTGCTGAGTGATGCAATCTCAGCTTGCATCATAAAGGCTGCATCCAGATACTATTGGAATTATTAGCCCCCCTTTGAGTTTTTTTCTTTTTAAATATTTGCCAAATTATGTTTAACAGCGCATGGAAATGTTCACCGTATGATAATCTTTTTTCCTGGAAAAAGTCTTATTTGTAATAAAAGCAGTTTTTAATTAAAAAAAAATGTCAGGTCAAATTTATTAGCCCATTTAAGCTATTTTTTTTCGCTAGCCTACAGAACAAACCCTTGTTAGACAATAACTTGCCTAATTACCCTAACTTGCCTAATTAATCTAATTAAGCCTTTAAATGTCACTTTAAGCTGTATTGAAGTGTCTTGAAAAATATCTAGTCAAATATAGTCATCATGGCAATGACAAAATAAATCAGTTATTAGAAATTAGTTATTAAAACTTATGTTCAGAAATGTGTTGAAAAAAATCTCTCTGTTAAACAGAAATTGGGGAAAAAATAAACAAGTGGCCTATTAATTCAGGGAGCTAATAATTCTGGCTTTAAAGTATGGGTATAACGTTAGCAGTTTTCAAACAAAGAGATATGTGTGTAAACTAATACATTATGTCCATAACGTTATATTATTTGTAATTACAATGAACAGTACCGCCTACTCAACTTAAGTATTATTGAGCTCACATATGATCAGCAACTAGAGTTAATAATAAATATTATATATATTATAAAAATTATAAAATTTTTCACTATAAAATTTTATTACCTGTTCTGTAGCATAAAAAGCGTTTTCAGATGCCCTTTCATTTGCCTTTCTCATAACATTTTTTTTACACAGATACTCACCAGCATTTTGAAGGGTTTCACTATTTTGTGGTCTTGTAGCAAGATCTGCAACAGTTTGTACAAACTGGGTTCTTGCTTTCTGGTACTGCTCAAACACTGCAAAATAATAACAATAATTTGGTGCTTCATACTGACAGCAATAGCCAGGTATGTCATTAGACATTAATGTCAATAAACTGCAAAAAAGTAAACAAACTCTAGTACATGTAATTAACTTGTAATTAAACGATTGTATTATTACATCTATGTTATCATTGTATTGTTCAATCTAACTTTCTCACCTTGCAAAATCTGTCGTTGACTCATAATTTTATTAAAATCCAAAATCAGAGTAAAAACGATAAAAAAGCTGCGATTATGCCACAGAAATACGCGTTTAAACGTCCATTAGGAAATAGCGTTTGTTGTGACTGAGTTTACAGGAGGCGTGCAACTGTTGTCTTGGTAACAAACCGGAAGTGAAATGCACTTCTTTTTCAATGAGCTTGCTGTCAATGTTCTTCCGAATGTTTCGTGTGAAACAGTCATGTTCTTTCAAAGTCGGGCATCGTTGCCGTTTACAGTTAATGTCCAGATGTAATAGCGCGTTAAATAATCCCTAATTAGATTGGGATATTAAACGAGATTCACGAACGGTCGATGAATGTGGGATATCGGGGCAGAGCAGCTGCGAGGGCGAACAGCTGCCCCCACATGAGTTTCTTTAGGTTACCGCACAGACAACTGCAATCAGAACAACAGTGACATTTAGTAATTACTCCTCAAGTTCGCATATTTATTTTCATTAAAAAAACTTGGAAAATAGTTAGGAAAGTGAGTGGTAGTTCGTGAATAATTAGCTTGTCGTCGTGCTGCAGCAGAATAACTTTCGTGCTTGTTCACTTCAGTTTTTGCCTTTTTAAGTCAGGTCTTAACCTCAAGTAACCTTGAGGTTGGATAATACAGTCATTTGTGCTGGGTACCAAAAAATAATAAATTTACGATTATTCTTAGTGTCGGCTGTATGCAGACCGTATATAAATGTCTTATGCGCAGTTTTGTTGTGTAACTAACACATGCTATACTAACATTAAACAAAAATAAAAAATGAAAAATCTAACTTTTTAGTCAAGCACAATGCACATTGTGTTTTAGAATTTTTAAATGTTATAATTTAATCTTTTTATTTAGGTTGTTACACTGCAATATTGGATTTGCAATAATTTAATGAAAATTTTGCTGCCTTCAAAATTCATCTCAAGACTGAGGAGTTTTTTTTTACATTAAACCTACTTAAATGCCACTTAAATACATGCTCGCATAAAGAGCAATGACCTTTCAATTCATTTGTTTAAATAGTGTTTAAAATTACATGAAGAATATTGCCTACCTATTCGTACGGTTTATCATGACATCTGTCAAGACAAAGCAAACATCTGACACAGACGGTTATTAATAATTGGAGAAATAAACTTTCCCCAAATTATTATTATTATTGTTTTATTATTTTAAGACAATGCCAGATCAACAGGCCTAGGCTATGTCATAAAATATGCCCACTGTTAGCATTTGGTCATTTCTACCACTCAATAAACTTAAAACAAGGGATTTTATGACACGTTATTAATATTTTATATTTAACCACTTTCCTTTCAAAATAACAAAAATTAATTTGCTTTCCACGTCGAACAACTACTTTACAGTATCTCACATTCACTTTGTGACACCGATTTGGCAAAAAGCCATACTGACTAAAAGGTGCTGCTACCTTAAGTTACTGAGGGAAGCTTGTGAATAAAGTTTGTGCGGCTGATAAAGTTGTTATTTAAGAAGACCGAGTAAAACGTATCAGACTATAAAACATAGGCTATATGGGCTAATATATTAACTTAAAATATTTGTACACCTCCTCCGCATACGCGTAAAGTTACTGCAAATTGTCGGGTATCAGGATTCTCCCCATGAAGAGATTCGCCGAATTTTCGGTGAGCTGTACTTCAGGTAGCCTACTTTGCAGAGGCAAGTTGTAAGGTTGCCGTGTCTGAGGCAGTTCGTCAAGTTTGGAACTCCTGCTTCAATACCTTCTCCGCAACAATGTAATCTTGGAAATGGATTTGGTGGTTAAACAGGTAAGCTCCACGTTTAAATTAACTGCTCTTTCAATTTAACTTCAGAACCATTTAATATAATTATGCTTCAAATAAATAAATGACAGAAGGAGAGAAAATACTGGCTATTCTGTGCACATGAATTCAAGTTTATGGTGTGAGAGATGAGATATACGACAAAGGTCGCATTTAATGATACAATATAAACTTTAACGGGATTTAAATCGTGTATTTCTAATTAAATCACATTTGAAACCAGATCAACACAAATCTGTTTATACTCTGATGGTTTTTTTATTAGTCCTGAACTAAGATTAATCCAGAGTTCATTAAGATGACTTCATCTTTAAAACTAGGGTTGAGGGTTCGATTTAATAAATGAATGAACCAGGAGCAAGTCTTCCTTGTAACTCAGAATTAATTTTATTTTTAACCTGCCTCCTGACAGTTGTTTCAGCTTCAGTTTAACCAGGAAGTTCTAGTCTACATTTAGAAAATCATGGTCATAATCTGTCATGCTTTCCAAAGGTTTCTGGCTCTTAATCAATCATGTCATTGAATCCATCTGGTCATTATCTTTACAGAATTTAATTTCTTTTATTAGTTTATGTGTGCAGTTGTACTTTGCTTCCTTACAGTTTTTTTTTTTTACATGCTGCTGTTTTTCTTGGATATGCTTCTGCATTTTAAGTTTATATAGTTTCACCTTACGTTTATAGACCTTTAAATTCTTTAAATTTACATAAACACTATTGTTTTTTAAATTAATCTTTTAAATTTTAGTGCAGGACTCCATAAGCTTTTGTAAACCTTTAAGCCACGATTTACTGTTTTAGATAAAGGCCTACTCCTGGCTCAAATTTAACCCTGTTCCAAAAAAAAAAAAAGTTTTACACAGTAAGAATTCATCAAGACTGTTCTGAGGTCCTTGTCCAAGTAGAAGCAGGAATAAAAAGGTGAGCCAATGTAAAAGTGTAAAATGTTTTATTTAGATGTTTTATACTGTGCAACAGTCACAATACAACAGCTGTCAATAGTCTACAATCGACCAATAAGACAATGAACACTGAAGACATCAAAACGTTGTCCAGAATGAGAAGTTGGGGATTAACAGGGGCTGTTTATCTTTTGATAAAATTGTTTATGTAATAGCTTGAAAGCATTCTGAAATACCCATGTGCATGCTATACAAAACTGAAGCATGACTTCGAGACCAATCAGACCAACCCGAACCAGCACAGTGGAGCCAACTGTACAATAACTGCAAAAACTAAACTTGAATTTCCCATAACTTTAAATAAGAGCTTATTAGGTCGCCAAGAACTTTTCCCTTTGAACACGCAATCCTAATATAGTCTTGTTCTTTAAATTTGAGCTATAGATATGCTTTTCTTTGACACAGGCCAGAATATACCAGGAATGTTTAGTAACTACCCCAGAAAAGGTGAACTAAAATTAAAAAGTATATGCTTTTTTAAATCATGCTTTTAAAGAACATTATAGTACACATGTAAAATACAAGCAACAGATAATGCAGTCGTGTATAGAAAATGTAGACCAAAAGTAAAAATATATAAAAAGGTATAATTAATTTCTGCATTCTGAAATTGCCACAACCATCAAACTGCGCTCCACTTTGCCATCAAATGGGCCTCCAACGTTCTCACGCAAACTCTGAAATTCCAGCAATGTGTCAAATGAAGTGCGTCATTTCCACTACGTTAAAGTTACATGTATAACATATTGATAATAATGACATAAAGAAAAAGATCTACATGACACTATGTTGGCATGGAAATAGCTGGATTACATCTGGCGTTGGCTTTATCTTATAGTTCCTTATCATCCAGATGATGTTGAAGATCCGTTCAGTGCTGACTTTCGCACTTTGCTGAAGTTGAACTGTCGATTTGGGCTTGTCATTGTCGTGCCGTTAATAGGACTGGAAATATGAGTGAAATGAGGTTGTGACGGCTGCACCAGAGTGCTCGGACTCGGTAGTGGTGAGGAGGTGGATGGAACTCCAGCAGGACTGCAGGCCTTATCACTGGCTGAGTCGCTTTCAGATCGGTTTGCATTGTTCAAACCCTCTTGTGGGTGGGTAATCTTCATTTTTTTACAGCTGGGTCGCACACGGTATTTTAGCGGCAGTGGTCCATTCTGGGTAAAGTAGAATGATACCAGAAAACAGCTAATCAGTGAGGGCTGCATGCCGAACAATTTTTTAATCCACAAAGCAACCAATTTTCATTTTAAATATCCTCAATAGACAGCATGCTTGAATAATATATTTAAAATAAGGATTAGGCTCAAATGAGAACTTACTCTTCTCCACGTGTAGATGTAGGCAATGTCCATTAATGTGTAATAATCCTTCAAAGGCTCATCCTCATACATAACTTCGATCTATTGGACAATACGCAAAAATAAGCATCATTCAATATCACACTGTGAGATGCAAGAACAGAACAATAAATAAGCAATTTCATGTAAATGTCAACCTTGCCATGAAAAAAAAAAAGTTTTCACCAAAATAGAGAAACCGTTTCCAAATTTTTTGTGTAAGCAAGCATTTTTACAGTACTTTTTAAAATACTCATAAATGTCTCTGTGAGTGTTTTTAAACTATTATATTTAATTACTAAAAATCATACAAGTAGCAGTTTCACAGCCGTCACATCCATAACGAAAAAGTGTCACATCCATAACAACACTTTTTCCTCATAAATGCCAAAAAAAAAGTCAAATAAAATAAAATCAATGATTTTTGTTCTATAGTGAGCCGACTCGTATTCGTTTGATTGGCATTGTTTCTTTTGCGTTGTGCAGTTTAATTGACAGAATTTTTACAAAGTATGTTGTACACTGTAAACTCGCAAACTTTCTTGTGTCATCCATAATGCATGTTCATTTTCCTCATTTAAAATATAAAAAATGTTTACAGATTGATATTTGTCTGAACCCATAACTCTGTGGTTAGTTGTTTTGGATAATATAAACAGATGTGTCAATATAATGTTAACATTTACTTTCTATGTGAATTTATGTTTTGAGTTTTTATTGCAAATGTCACATTCATAACTCTGGAATTGATCAAATGCATAAAAGCCTCTTAATACTTGCTTTATTTTATAAAAGTGCATCATGATAAAGCACTGAAATATTAAACTGCATTATTGTACTAATAGCAACAATCCAATAATGATTTATAAAGGCTGGTTCATTTGAAAATGAAATTGCTTCTACAATAACATCACATGACCTGGTAAGTAGGAGGTATATCCATTTTGCTTCTCAGAAATTTCCTCAAATGCATCACAGTCATGGCAGCAGGGCATTGTAGATATCTTTTGTTATTGACCTATGTGTTTTAAAAAGAAAATCAGACAAATGCTTCATTTTAGTGCAATCCATAACAATATCTAAAACTATTTTTTTTTAATAATTCATATTGAATGCAAATTACCTCCTCTTTTTGTCTCTCCTCTGTGCAGCCTTGCTGTTGCGCCCTAAACAATAAATAGCATTATTATTGTAAAATTGTATTGTATTATTGTAATAAAATAATATCCTCAGCATAATTCAGTACACCCCATTTTAAAAATGAATATTTTTATCCATTTCTCAGTAAATATAGGCAATGTATTTTGGTGCATTTAAACAAACCAGACTTATTGAAATAACATTTCAGTCACCAAACATATTTAGAAATTAAAAGATAATACAATTAAATTTATTGTAATATAAAATATTGTAAAAAAAAAAAAAAAAAAATTCAAATAAATTTTTACATTGTTACTCTTGATTTTCCTTTTTTTTTAATTTTGTATTTAATATTTTTTCTATAACATAAATTTGTTTTTGTTTTTTTGGACCGTTCTATTAAGTTATTTTGTTAGATAAGCTGCAGATTTGGCTTCAGTACTGACTAATCTAATGTATATGCACAAATATAATACTGTATAGCTTCCACAGTAATAGCTACTAAAAATACTAAATTAAAAGACAGATTTGTGAGGGGTGTACTCATATATGCCGAGCACTGCAAGTGATAAATTATAACATGTTTAAAATAAAATATCTTTATCAATAAAGTTACTCTAGTATAATAACCACTTGTGTTGTTTTGACTTTTGTAAGAATACACTTTAACTTATTCAAACATTAACACATACCTATGATCGAAAAACTCAATTGACAGACTGATAATCTCATCATCTGTAATGATTCGCTTGTCCTCGTCAGCAACTTCCCCTCGATCCTCATTTGACCCATTTGCAGCTTTAAAAAAATAAAGATTTTACATCCCAGTGCAACACAGATTTGTTGAACTGTTGGGGATTGAACAGACTTTTGTCTTAACATAATAAATACATACCATCAACAGATGGGTGTTCAGCATAAAAGTCTCTCCTACGCTTCATTTCATCTGCACAGAAAAAAGTCATATCTAAAATAAGCATGTGTGAATTCATACAATAATACACTTATAATATTTTAAAGTGACTGACTTTTGAAAAGACCAGGAACCAACTTGTATACAATGTCTTGTAGAGTTTTGTCAGACCTGGTGTTGGGAGGGAGGATTGAGAGGTTAGATGTGGTCAGTTAAACAATTTTTGGAAAGACAATGCAATTTAGGCTATCCTGTTCTGATGGTAAAAACAACAACAGTAATGCTGAAGATTACCGTATATTGAGAAGTGGCTTTGTTTTGTGAACCTGCACATCACATATGGGGCAGTATTTACTGGTCTCCAGGTACCGGACAATGCACATTTTACAAACTGAGGATAAGAAAAATTTAACAGGATAAGACACAAAATCCAGATATTTGGCATGAAGTTTTCAGATATAAGCAAAAAAACACTTACATGAGTGCAAGCATTCTATGATTGTTGTTGCATCTATGAAATATCCACCACATAATACACACATCAGATGAGGATTGAGCTCTGTAATCTTGATCCTTGTTGTGCGATGCATCGTCATGGGATAGAAAAGAACCTGCAGATGCATTAGAATAAGTTGAACTAGCAACTTACAATCACCTGAGACTTCTACATTACCCCTTATTACGGGATGTTTTAAATATCTAAATAATGCTGTTAGCGCACTTTAATAAACAGACAACTATAATTTAAGACAGCTTGTCTACGCCTCTGTAAAACTGCTTAATTGCAATGCATAATGATCATATCGGAGTAAATGAAGATTCGACAACACGCAAAAGGCATAAATAAAGCATCCATCATAAGAACAATCTACGTTAATTAACTTTACGTGACGAACACTTCCCACGGTTTCTATAGCAACTAAACCTGCGTAACGTGGCAACGTACCAACCAGCTGAAAATAACCATGCCGCTTTGTCTATAAATGCAGTTCCAGCAAATTTTAATTGAAAACGAGTCCGCCGAATACATCTAAAACAGCGTGCATCGTGTAATAATGGTCTTACATTTGATTTTTAGTCCGTCCACAAACGACTGAAATAACACCACACATCTATGCAATAATGATGCTGATCTCCGCTTTTTGCTTAGACAGTCTCTCCCTCCTAAACTACTGTTTCAGTCGCCCGTTGCCCATAAATGCACCGTGCATTAAACTGATACCCAATTGACATCATGACTGTCGTCATACGTTGCCATGTATAAGGTTTAATTTTGTTTTACACGGAACTGTTATTAAAACACCTCATTACTTCGGTGCATTCTCTGAGAGCCGAGGACAAGTCTGAGATGACAACCATCCGAAAACGATCAGAGTAAGCAACTCTAGAGTAGTGATTTACATGTGAAGTAGCCTACTAAACCTGCAGCTATACTTACAGTAGTTATAACTGGCGTTTTGAGGGTCAATTTTACATGTTGTTGTACAATTAAAGGACGATTTGAATGAAACATGAATAAAGAACACATGATAAAAACACATGAGATATTACTTCATATCAAAATATATAGGCAACAAAAAGGTTGTGAATATACACGCCAAAAGGAACGTTAAAACAAAGGTAAGTCGTCCAAAAATATATCCTTATTAAAATTTGTAAAGGCGGCCAGGATCTAGATTTTAGCTAAAACATCCACTAGACAAACAGAAATGATCTAGGCTTCAGGACGGTTTGCCCTCACCACTGCAACAAGCGTTTCGGTTGGTTTGAGACAGACAACCACAACCTTTTTGATCTTTGACAAGCACTTTGAGGATGATGGCTTCACGTATAAAATAAAGCAGTCAGGAGGAAATTACCTTTATACACAAACTGTTCTACGTGAGAAGGTGTAGTTTGCAGAGATCTCTGGCCTATTTCGATTAATATTAATATACCACCTGATTAAGCTGAGGAGAATCAAACTGTTAACTGTATTTAACCTATTCTACATAACGCATCAGGTTTTTGACATTTTGAGTTCACAACTTCAAACAGTGTCATACGTTATAACCTATAATAAAAATAAATTGTTTACCAAATCTTGAGGGGGACAGCTGCAATTTCTAAAACAAGATATAGGCTAAACGCGTGATAGACTTATGTTTTTTTAAACAACAAAGGTCAAAGCGACAAAGTTCAGTTCTAAAAGATAAACTAAAAGATTACCCCTTGACATGCAGCGACAAAAAACAGCAAGGCTTCCACACATTAGCCTACATAAAAACAGGTGAAAACGAATAATTTAGCTCAAGTATAAATAAATGTATATAGCCATACACGTAAAAATATATATTTGAATGGTAAAGTGGCTTCAAAGTCCAACAGATATATCCTTAGATCCAAACAAATCTTGTAACCTACAATATAGGATGTCCAAACAGCAATTTAAGTCAGATGGATAAATTAAAGTAAACGCTGAAAAACGTTATATTCGTAAAATAAGTATATTGTTTAATGTGTTGTTTTGTCAACCACACATCGTCTGTGTAGTGAATGTTTGCTGTCAGCTACTGAATGCTTTGTCCTGTATATCCGACAACCTGGCATGTTTAGGTTACTGTGCAAATTTAAGTTAAAAAAACGCACAAATAGGCACAATTTAGCAAAACAACAAGTTTGATCACAAGTAAACATCATACAGATTGCATATCTATAAATTTAGATAACTAGTTAATGTTACGACAAACAGAAAATCCTTTAGAAACCTGCCTGACATAAACAGGCGACCCGTCTTTACCCGATTTCGCGTGCACGGTCAGGATTCATTAATAACTAAACCGTTTCTTCTAGCTAGAAACACCAAACAAACATCATGATGTCAATAACTGAATACCACACAACTCAAAAAGAGTCATTCGTGGACCCATTAAACAAAATTCTTAGATAAAATAACTCAAATCTGTAAGCACGCGGAGACACGGAGACAATGTTGCGTACGCGAGCCTGTCAGTTCCCGCATCCTAACGTACGTCTCCATTTTAAGCTCACAAAAACACTGAATTGGAATTAGACATATGTAAGGGGAGATATCGAAGAACATGTACCTTTCTGGACTGGAGTGAATAGTCGAGCCTGGTGCTGGTTAGACAATGAAAGTTATAAGTCGATCAGCAGAAAATGAATACGAGCCAAGCGGCCATCTTGAAAAGGGCTGCAGACGCTGTCAATTGCAATAAGAGAACGGTGGAGCAGGGCGCAGTACAATAATAAAAAATAGAAAAGGTCCTGTTGTCGATGTGCGTGCCTTGCTTTGTTGGAGAGACGTAACCGGTTTCGTATTTAGACCTCCCGCGTGTAAAACAGCCAGGCTGATGTGCGTTTTCTCCAGACTAGCGCCTTCAGTCTTCTCTTTGAAAAATGCTGCGCTGATGGTTCAGTGGAAACTGACACCGTCCCCAAAATGGCTTGTAGTTCGACCGCCCCGTGCATCACGTGATCTAATTCCTTAAGGGTGGCCTGGGAATATGTGTCGGTGTATTCAGCGCGGCTCTCGCTCAACAAATAACAAAGAATTGCTTTTCAAAGTCTGTTTGACCGTGGTCCAGCTCGTGTAAGGTTTACACAATAGGATAGGTTCTTGTAGGTCAGCTTAGAACCGTTTGCCACATGTCTACAAAATAAATAAAATCCGCTAACAGCGCTAAAAAAGAATGATTCAAAACATAGACATGATCAACTTACCGTAAGATTTTCTATTTATACACATCTGCATAATCTAAACTTGCAAATGCACCAAGGAAGTATTTAATTAATTAGCCGATGGCATGTTCAGACATTGCATGCGTTGCTGAATTAATTCACGGTGATGAATGTTGCAGAGAGCAGTACAGAAAAACATTGCGAACTCTCCCTCATACGACCGGGAGTCCCCTAGAAAATCCTGACTCTACAAATATGACTCAACGGTATCTATAGCATACTCGCAGTCTTTTCTGTTCTGTCCTTATACTCTCTCTCTCATATATATATATATATATATATATATATATATATATATATATATATATATATATATATATATATATATATATATGCGCAACACATATTTACACTTTAATGCTAAAATATTGATTTCTTCTTAATTGCGTCAAAGAAATAAAGTCTAGCATACACAAAGACAGCCTTGCTTAAAAGTGATTTATTGTGGATTTTATGAAAATGACATTTTGGAAAAACAACCACAAACAAACAACCACAGCACCAGATAATATTAATCGATATGCAAGAACAACAGAACAAAAAGAAACCGGAAAGATGCGTTTGGTTAGACAACCTCCAGGAATCATGACTGTGTTGCTCTCTCGACACTTTTTGCGGCGTCCTTCATTTTTCCAACCAAATCCTGAACACAGTTCAAACAATCCAGTTTATTCACAAGCAAATACAAAATATAGAAAAATTGATTTTTACCAAGTCAATTGTTTTACATCTAAAAAAAGCAGTCAAACAGTTCATGCAACTATACTAGATAAAGCAAAGCCTAATATAAAAAAGATCAGTTGTTGACATCGTAAACCTCTGATGATCTATGAAAGTAAACAAAACTACACAAAATTAAATGAAAACTGGGCTTAATCAAAATTAAGAAGGTAGAAAATAGCCCAGTTTGACCGTGCATAAATAAGATTGTTGATTGCATATAGAACAATCAGTAAGTTAGGATTAAAAATCACTGTTTTATAATTTAATGTGAACTTAATGGCAACGTTTTATCAAATTTGCTAAACGCGTGGGTATTTATGAAAACCTCTGGGATGTTTGTAAAGAGGTGTGATGATAACTGAGTGCATAAGAATTTTATGACTTGATCTTTCGGACAATTCACCTTTGTGTCACCCCAACAACAAACAGGCATCTGTGTGACGACGATAATAAAATTAGTATGCAGGCTTTTACAGAAACAGAAACCACACGATGGTAACTTTGAAATTTTCAGGTAGGCCTAAACTCATCATTCAATTACCGGGTTGTAGTAAATTAATGTCAATAACAACAGATTATTATTAAATATTTATCGCTCGTCAAATTCTTTGTATATTGGTTTAAATCAGGAAGTTTTGTATAAGAAGGCCTACAAAATAGAATTTTAAAGCAAGATAAACTCTGTTTCTGAAGAGTCAAAAATATGAAAATAACTGTGAAAACATCAAATTGTTTCAAATAATAAAAGCATTTTAGCCTATTTAAACCTTTAGAAAAATAACATCTTAATCAATGGCTAAGCTGGAGGAAATCATCCACGTGCTTTTAGTCAAACTGATAGTGAGTCTGTGGACTAAAATAAATACCTGAAGTTGCTCCATTGTGCAGTTAAACTTAATTTTCGACGAACAGCCACCGCTCTGCAAAAGCAACCAGAGTACATCCAAAGTGAAAATAACCATTACTGGAAAGTACAGTGAATGCATGTAGGCTTTATGGAATTACATACCTCAGTGTTTAAGGAAATCAGGTATGACGGCTGATTGACTTTATGTACATGACTATTCTGTGGAGAGAAAAAATGGTCATGAGATATTATGGAAGTATTGTAAATGATGGACAACTTAAAGAAACAACATACCTTTATACAATATTCAAGACGCCATGCAGCATCAGTTATATGGGGAGGGCATATGTCAATGCTGAGGAGCAAGTAAAAAAAATAAATAAAGTATCACTGCGGAAATATTTCATTGAATTAGATAAAAGTGATTTTTTTATGCCTTTCAAAAAAAAAATAATAATACACATGCCTCACCTTGACAACAAAGACTCCACATTTTGTTTGTTTTTCTAGAAGATATATAGAAGAGAGATATTCACCTTACTGTAATTCAACTGTTCTTTTAAAAATATTGGGAGACCAAACGTTAGCCTACTTGGAATGAAGTATAAAATATGTCCACTCTTTCAGTCTGAAACCCCAGGTCTTCAAGACATGAGCTAGAAGAACACACGGTATTTTCAGAATTTAGAACACAAGCGGATAGGGGTTGGAAATGATCTTTAGAATATGTTACCTAATTGTCGATTTATCCGCATTTTGCTTAACTCCCTCAAGAATGAACGTTGTTGCCGCGGTGTGACAGTGGTTCAGAGTTGACTGATCGATGTGTTTCAATTCTGGATGACCTGAAGTTGAAGAAAAAATGGTCTAAACAGAAGCTTGAACGTGTGTGTGTGTGTGAGAGAGAGAGAGAGAGAGAGAGAGAGAGAGAGAGAGAGAGAGAGAGAGAGAGAGAGAGAGAGAGAGAGAGAGAGAGAGAGAGAGAGAGAGAGAGAGAGAGAGAGAGCGTTGTTTTAAACCTTACACGCTAAGCTAATGCCTTTTCATAACAAATGTTAAATTATCGGTCAAGCCAGATAATCACTTTCTATACAGAGAGAGTATGTAAGCGAAATAGAAAACCTGTTTAGCTGATAACCAGCGCAGATTAGATTACAAAATTTTAAATCTACAAATACATGAATGTTAGCATACTACATGTGTTTGGGTATAATCAAGCATATGTTAAATATATATGGACTCATTCCTTTACATTTAAAAAGAATGATGTTGTTAATCACACTACGGCTTAGCTAATGCGGCTAAGCGGTCAACTAATGTACACTGCACTTTGTAAGCACAGTAGGCAAACGCCAAGTCAAAGCATGACGATTAAAGTCCGTCAGCCTATGCCAGTTATTGGGCTCTGCAACATATAACATGTCAAGCCCAAGAAAATAACATCAGTAACACAACGCAGCGACTTCCTTCTTGTCTGGAAAGCACCGGAAGTAGTGCTGCACAAAGAAAAAACCTCAACCATCTTACCCAGAGCGCTTTCGCTTCGAGGCGAGACCAGACTGTTGAAGGCGACCTCTGTGAATATCGCATACGACTTCAGGTCGATCACGTTTGAATCGGCTAGGATTTGAAGCCCTTTCATCACTGATTCCGACAACTCCATTTTGAGCAAACTCGCTAGCCTTGGTCACATGAGCGCGTCAGCTGATCTCAGGGCTTGAATTGTCGGGGAACAGGGACAGAGTACTACTGACACATCCATGCACTTGCTGCGCATCATTCTGTTATTGCGCAATTCTGTTATTGTCCTAAGCGAGAAAAAATAAAATATAAATAAAAATAAACTATTGGTTTGTCAAAGACTATGCCGGATTTCTGTGCTTCCAGATAGGCAAAGCAGCATATAAAAAAAAAACTATTACGTATGTTGATAAGAGACGCGTCCGTAATACTGCACAAACCAATTTAATAGTTTAGATTATATTAAAACCAATCTTAACCATCTTAAGACGATTCTTTAAAGTCTATATTAGTGATGTGGTGGTGGCAAGTTTGGTTCTTCTTTAACTTCCTTGTATTTACAAATTAAATAATTTTAAACATATTTTGCGACATATAATATGTAGATATGTGTCTTCAGACTACCATTTTTGGTTGCCCAAACAACCTTAAAATATGCATTTATTAAATGTTAATAATAAAAATTACTTTTAAGAACCTTGTGGGGAATTGAAAGGTTTCAATGATGTTAAGGATTCTTCAACATTGATTCTAAAAATAAAATAAAAGAATAAAATTATGCATGTTCTTTGCTCTTCTCCCGAGAGAAACAATGCATGAGATATTTAAGAAACATTGTTAACGCTAACATTTTTTTAATCGCAATAAAGACATTAGAAGAGTTTCGATGCTAAGTACAAAAATGTAATGTCAAATAACTTTTCAGTTATTTTTTATACAGTAATTTCGGCGTTTTTTTTTTAATTGGGGAAATCTAGAAAAATTCAGATTTCTCGTATGAGACCTGGTTTTAAATTGAATTTTGCCTCTGACTTGGATCTGTGTAGTTGCTATAATTATTACCAAATTTCCAAAGCTGAACAGAAAACAGACAATAGTATATAAGATTATAGGCGCAACTAGAAAGCCCCACAAAAACCCACAAAATTTCTAAAGCAAATATTTTAAAATCAAGTACGATAAAGAACAAACATTATATAGATGACACATTTTACAGATGACACAAAACGCCTGTATACATTTTATGTAGAAAAAAAAATCGGGGACAACTGCAAATGTCAGAGTTTAAAAAGAGTATTTGTTCTGACATGATGATAGATAAAAACTAATGTCAAAAGTATCTCTTGTATTCAACGTGGATTCATGAACTTGCCATATATATTTATATTGGCGCTTATTTATTTATGCCTGTGGGCTTGTGGTCATTACCAAGAACCTTATGAAAAGTCTCGGGTCATTATGACGAGTCATTAAGCTCTTCCACAACTATCTGTGAACTAATTTTGTCTTAAATGAATTTGACTTATCTGTTGTTTAATCAAGGAAAGTGGGATACTGTTGTTTTATTTCTTTTGCCAGCAAAGAACACAAGTTCTTTATGAGTTAGTTATTTACCCTCAATTAAATGTTTTTATTTATTTATTTGTGTGTGTGTGTGTGTGTGTGTGTGTGTGTGTGTGTGTGTGTGTGTGTGTGTGTGTGTGTGTGTGTGTATTCGAATGCAATTTATTTATTTAGGCAAACGTTGTATTATGTAAAATAGCATTTATTATATATAGGGTATATATTTTTCAAACACTTAAAGTTAAAATAAAACTAATGGTCATTAATAACTTGCAGTTATGCAGGTTATGTTACCGGTGTTCATTATTTCATTTATTCGTTTATTTATTGAGCGATTTATCGTTTAATTTACTCTGTTTTAATTAAGTTTTTTAACATCGCACCTTGGGGGTACACGGAAAACACTCTCAATCGGAAATCTTGCATATTTGCATAGAATATCTAAAGGACACTTGCTAGATTTTAGAATAAGAAAACATTGCCACACCAAATGTTAAAGGAAAATAAAGTGGTCTTAATGTAATTGCCCTTACTTATGTCAAAATGGGAACTTAACACTGTTTTAAATATAGACAGCAGCAATATAAATAGCTGTCGACCTTGTAACTTCAGAGGAACTTTCTCAAAATCCACACATAGAAGAATGCAGATACAAAAGACAAGATGAATCGGTTTTAGAATAATTAATTGTTTACTTGAAGAAGTAACAAACTGTGACATGAAATAACCCAACTTTACCAAACTGAAGAATTATTTTTGGTGAACCCTCAAACAGAACAGCGGCCATTTTGGGTAATACCCGAGACAAGAGGTTGTTCAACAAAATGGATGTGACGTGGACTTTTGGTGATTTATTAAAAAATTGAAGCCAAACAGCCAGCTGTTGCTTGGAGGCTCTTCAGCAGCAAATGCTTAGAAGAATGTTTATGCTAATAGAGGGAAACTAAGTTTAAATTAACCTTTTGCGCTGCTGAAGTTTTTTTATTATATAGGGGAGGAAGTCATAAGCCCATTGTAGTGTTTTTTTAAAGAAAGGAAAATATTGCTTAATGATTGTTTTTATGTTTACAGAAGATCTAGGTCATTAGAGGAACCTATACCAAAGCATGTGTAACGAGTAATTTAATTCAGCATTGTGGCGAAATAAAAAAAAACTATGGTGAAAATGTAAAAGGAAAGTGTATCTTTTTAAAATCAAATAGTGTTGCTAAAACTAAAGCTCCAACAACATTTATTTGAAATTGAAGGGCTATGATTGCATATAGAAAAGCTAATCCATTTAATAAATTATGCTGTATAAAAACAAATTAAATGTATTAAAATGTTTAAAATTTATTTTACGTCGTCATAAAAATGTAATAAATTCGTGAAATTGGATAACTTGAAAAATAGGTAGCCTAGACTGTTTTAATATAAGCCAAATCAACAAAACATTCGAGATAACAAGATGACAATAAACAAAATAAATAAATAACAATTTAACCCTTTTTGTGCTGTATATTTATTTCTTTGCTTTCCTAAAATGCGTTTCCTCTATGGTTTAGGGTTAAATTAAAGCATATTTAACCATTGCTAACAGAGACATTTATAAAGTTAGGCTGCATGCATGTTGCGTATACAATCATTTATGCGATGAACTTAATCGAGGAAAATATTTATCCATATGATTTGCATTAAATCCCCATAAACTTTTTCCGACATAAAAAGATGTTTGCAGATGTCGTTTAAATACGGTCCAAACAATCGTCTAAAGCGACATAATTAAATTACTAACGTCAGTAACATTATTTGTGACAAAGGTCACAGATTAATTTATTTGCATATTTCAAGGAACTAATGGAATATAATGAATCAAATGAGAATGTGTTAGGCCCGTTTATACACAGCATGAAGGGTTTTCTATTTGAAACTTCAGCTGACACTAACACATGTTCTTATTGGGCACGAGTGTATCTTATAAATTAAACCTAAATGTGTTACAACTGCTGTGTTTCTGATTCTGAGTAGTATGACAATAGATTTAATCTGAATTACATTAATTTAATTAATTCTCAGACTATGTTTTAAGTGTGAATATGAATTTAGTTATATTACTGTAATAAGTATTATTTACGTAAAGTGTTCAACAGAAATTAAACAAATGTAATAACTAAATAATCAGGCAATAAAAAATAACAAGAAGTGAATTATATATTAAAATTATTCAGATAAGAAATTTCTAAAAAGCCAATAAATAAAATATTCTGAAATTTCGTACTGATTTAAGTGTCTTGGCGCATAAAGTTTACCAATCTAGTTTTTAATGCTACGCATTATTTAATTTATTTTTAGGTTAATTACATTTACATATATATTTTTTTCTTTTAAATTATGTCAAAATAAACCAAGAACACCCATATACACATATAAACCATGTTGTATATCTTTTTGCAGTATCCAAATTGTTACGTGGTCTTGCAAACATTACAAAGTCAACATTTTGGGGGTTAAATTATATTTCCGGAATAACACCGATGGACAGATAACACGTCCTGTTATAGCCTAATGTTTTGTTTATTCTGTTTTAATAGCACAAAACCAAACTGTCGAAAAAGTTACTTGGCTGCATTTAGGTGTGGGAGGAGAGGTTTAGTGGTACGTCTCCTTTAAGACACACGAGAAGGAAGTTTCGTTATTTTGTTCAAGAAGGAAATCATGCAAAATGGGCGTTGAAAATAAGCACAAGTTATCAAATGTAAAGATAAACAATCTCGGTTGTTTGTTAGAATAAACAGGCTTACAATAGCAAAGTCCTTTTTTCTTTGGGGCAACAGAAATTTACTTTACCAACATTGTTGGTCATCTCTATTAATATAAACAAGTACGTAACCTATTTGTTCGGTCAGTGCACATTTAATTTCCTCGAATAGGGATGTTTTTTTGTCAAAAATAAACCCCTGATTTAATTGGCACGACATATGGTTATATATATATATATATATATATATATATATTCTGCGAAGACAAATGTCAAATGTTATGTGAAGACAGTCCATTGGGTTAATTTCGAATCACAATATTATTATTTTTTATAAAATACAAGTTTGATCACTTCCCACTGTATAAAGACTTCCCCTTAGTTTTACAAGCTGTGTTTCTTCATCATGTGAACTGTGGGGAAGTTTATTAGCAAGGTTTGGGAAACCCTAATGATTCTTCGTGCCAACCCCTTTGCTCCATCTCATTCAGAATGGGCACTACGCCAAAAGTTAGTGCTGTGAGTCTCCGCCCCTCCCCTCCTGTTCTGCAGTTTTTTGTTGAGGAGAAAACACAAGCTGGTCGACTTGTTGCATGTCTTCGTCTTACAACGGCGATGTCACAGCACAGAATTCATAATTTACTTCACGAAACTTTGATTTTTGGTCAGTTTTGTGCTTCAAATGAGGGATGGCCTTTTGTGATTCCAGAAATGTATACTTTAACCTACAAGATATTTACGTTTAATTGTTAATTAACTATAAATTCTGAATCCATAAAACATGGCCCATTTAATCTAGCTCTGTGTGCGTTTAACTGAACGCGGTTTCAGAGAGGGACTCTGCCCCCTATAGAAAATAAAGGCCCTTTA